TCCAGATAAATGGATGATGTATCACCATTTGATTATCTTTCATTTATTTCTACAATAATTATATGTATAACATTTTCTATTGCATATGTATTGGGTTTGTATATTTTATCTCCATCATCACGTCGATATGAACGTAATCATCCACATGTGATTAGAAGAAGATTTTTTGCTGTTTTTATTGTTTGTTCATTAATTTATTTATTTTTAAAACATACATGTAATCCAAATATAAATATACATACATGGTTAGGCTTTCGAACAAATATTTCATCAATATGGATATTGTTTTTCTATCCAACTATACTAACATTAATGTTATATTTGGGTCCAATTATACAGTGGATAGATTTATTTGATTGGAGATATTATATTTACAATTGGAACAGGTTTTTATTATGCCACACTGCAAATGAACAACTTATATTTATTCGAAATTATTTTGTTGCACCATTTACAGAAGGTAAATATGAAACTGATGTAAACAAGTTTAATTAGGAGTATATCAAGTCGGCGCTGAGAAAGTTCCCAATCTTGTTTTCTTTGTTTACCAAGTTCCATCTCAATTGTCGTGAACCCTACTTGTTCAATAGTCGACCCCTTCCCCTTCCTCACGTCCCAACAAAAAAAGTTTCAATCTGAAATAGATACTCAGTTGATCATATATGAAAAGTCTTTGTGCTTAAATTATAGAATAGTAGTCTAGATTTTCAGTTGCAAATTAAAATAACCATTTGAATTTATCATCAAGTAAGAGCTTGCATTTGAAGTCAGACAATAGTATAAAGTTGATTATTTAACCATAGAATCACATAAAGCTGAACTTCTTTTCTTGCAAGAAAATTTCAACGAAGTAAGCTAGATTAAAAAAATGCTTACCGGCGATCAACATATCGCTGAAAGCTCTTTCAAGTCACTTATGACAACCGAACAGGCCCATACATAATCACCTATCGGCATGCTTAGAATTTCAATGTTGCATAGCAGCTGATAAGCGTTATAATATGACGACATTAAAGCGCTGCATGTCATTTGAAAGAGCTTTCAGCAATATTTTAAGTACTCATGGGCACTTAATTACGTTCTAAGCACGTATAGCTGGCTCAAAATATGTGTTATCAAGTGTTTATTTCGCTTCATAATTGAAAATCAAGCTATTCTAATCTAACTTATTTCGTTGAAATTTTCACATGAGTTTATCAATGTTAGTGAGAATTTTTTTTGAACCCAACAACCATTTTTTTTTATTCTCGGAAGATTTTCAATTCGATGACAAGCGTCTTAAATTCATAGCACAAGATTGACGATTTAACATTTTAGACAATTATTGTCGATGAAAGTATTTTCTTTGAATATTCTTAAAAAGAAATCAAGTAACATTTTGTTTTTATGAGATCTTCAAATAAGGTTTTTAATTATTTGAATCGAAAATCTATTGTTTTTCATATGTGAAATCGATCATGATTTATCTAGTATGGTGATCGTAAAGATGACGCTTCTTAAGGATCAAATTCGCTCTGTCGGAGTTCTAAACTGCTTCTTTAGAGAAAAACATGAATAAAACATTGGGGATTTTTAGAAGTAAACTGTTGGATATGTCATTCTTTTTTTCCAAAAATTCTATTAATTATTTAAAACACAATTCAATTAGCATTATTTAAGTCAGTTCTTTTAGACCTATGCATTGAAATTCTTTTGTTGACAGTTTGAGATACGGTTCACATTTCATACTGTCATTTAATTTACATAGATTGTGTTTTCTTTATTTTATTTTATTTTTAGAGTTTGTGTTCCGTTCATCAATTTTATGTTTACTTTATTCTCATGTATCATTATTTTCGGCGATATTTCTTTCACCATTATTTTTTGGTCTTGCACATTTTCATCATATGCTTGAACATTTTAAACAAAATCATCGTGAACAACATAATCGATTATCAGCAATGACTATTATACTTATTCATCTTTTTCAATTTTCTTATACATATGTATTTGGTGTTTATTCATCATTTCTTTTTATTCGTACAGGTCATTTTATACCATCTTTTATTATACATACATTGTGTAATAGTCTTGGTATACCTGATTTTATGAATCTGATTGATATGAACAATGGTGAAAGAAAACGAAAATTAATTTATATGATTTGTTATATTATGGGTTTATGGTTATTTTCAACGAATTTATATACCTATACTCAATCAAATTTTTATTATTCGAATGATAGTAGTACTATTATCTATCGACATTGGTCTAGTTGAACTGTGATGTTTATTATGCTCAAAAAAAAACACAACAATAAAATTAATGAATATTAGAGAAGCAATCATTTTTTTTAGTTTCTTTTTTTCTAATTTCAATCTCGTCGGGCATGTCAGGTGCTTTGTCATTTTATCCACCGTCTCTTGTCTTTATGTGATTTTTATAGAATTGTGACCAAAAAATATCAATAGAATAAAAGATACATAAATCTAATACTGTTAAAATAAAAATAATTTTCGAATTGCTATATTTATATAGGAATGATTTTTAGTGTGTTTGATATTAATAAATAAAAATAAATTGCAGAAATAGATTTAATATTGGTAGTATTTTTAGCGATAGGAAAAAAACGATCTTCAAAATCGCTGTAAAATATCGGCTATTCGAAACACAAATAAAAGTTTATTTTGAAGAATGGTTGAATAGAGTTCGTCTGGTTATCTATAAAAATATTGTTTTTCTTTTTAAATTCAGGCGAGTATTTTATAGTGAAACTTAGGAAAGATAGGCTTTAAAAAAATGTCAGAAAAGCCAATTCAAGTGGAAATACATCAAACACATTAAGTCTGGGTAACCTCAATATTCGCCTAAAGTTGTTTCGATTTGACCATCGAATATTTGGGAAAAAAGTATTATTTAATTATTGAGAAAATCAATTTCTTCGACATGACAGCATAAAAGTCATAAAAATGGGTACATATACAGAGATTTTCATGATCAGAACTCCAGTTTCAAAGGAAGCCAACATTATATTGAGAATAATCACAGAAGTCTGCATCGAATACTTTACTTTATGTTCAAAACTAATTTTCGTTGAAATTCAGGCTTTACATTTTTCTTCACTGTTATTTTACAATAATCTGACATGTGGATCTGTTGCATCAAGAAATGAGCAATAAACCGATTTTAAACCAATAATAAAATAACTATAGAAATCACTAGAACACTCACACATAGACTTATTAAAAACACATATAATCCAAAGTGTGAAGTCAAAGTTGAAAACGTCAAAGTTGTCAACTAATTAATGTTTCTTCTTATAAAGCTCTGTTTTATAACAAAAACTGAAAATAACCATACACTTATGTTAATCCTCTTTCAATAGAAAATAGCACAATAGTTTCGTAAGGGTCTGATTTTTACAGTTTACTTGATTTCTAAGAGCATTCACATTAATAATAGGAGAAAAAATATTCCATTCCTTTTAAGCAAAATCTTTATTTTTACATAAAATATCTTCATAGACTCTATGATTGCATTTCATACACAAAAAAAAGTTTAACATAGTTAACGACAGATTCTTTTCATCAGTTAAGAAAAATTGTATTCGAATCATTTTCAGCCGTGACTGATTGATATTCGGCTTATATAAGAATGCTTTTTTGCAGCTATCTGTGTTTATTATGCAAATCATATGGATTCTACCACTTATTGCAATGTAAAATCAGCTCACATGTATTTTTGTTGTCCAAATATTAATCAGTTCCAGTTTTCATTGGATGATCGATTTTAATCCGACTAATTATATAATTTGTGTTTCTGTACTAAGTTCTACTGATTCTTATTTTATAATTACTAATCAGCGTTAATGTTAGGTATATATCAGAACCAATTGTTCATTTGTGAACTAGTTAATCGGTATGCAATGAACGAAGACTGATGCATAGATATTGTCACTGTTATAGAACACTACTTTACGGCCGATATTTTAGTGGTCGTATGCATGACAAGTGGCTGTTTTATGCAATATATCCATTTGGTTTATAGTACCTAGATAACAGTGATTTTAATAAT